CTGCTGCGGCCTATGAGCTCATCCATAGTTCAGTGTCCCAGCTGCAAACATCACACCCCCAGTCTCTGATCATTGTCTCAGGAGACTTTAATCATACATTGCTCTCTACCATCTCCCCACTTTCAGCCAGTATGTGGACTGCCCAACCAGAGAGAGTAAAACCTTGGACCTGCTCTGTGCGGACACCGGGGCTGCATATTGCTTGATTGTTGTTGTTTTCTTGTGCTTTCTTTCAATGTTTTTGGATTTTGTTGTAGCGTGTAAATTTCCCCCAATGGTGGATCAATACAATTATTCTATTTTATTCTAACTCATGTTTTCCTCTTCAACCTGTGTCCTTTAAACACAAGCAATCAAAGCTTTGGATAACTCCAGCGATTTTAAAATCCCTGACAACTAAAAACAGGTTATATAAAAAGTATGTTTCAAATACTACACCATTTAATTTTACTGTATTTAAAAAGTAGAGGAATCAACTGAACCATGTCATGAGAGGAGCAAAAATTCATTGTTATAATACAACGCTAGCCCAGGAGAAAAACAATATATCTGACATATGGAAAACTATCGATTGTATTCTCAACAACGACAAAAAAAACTAAAAGGCAGATGCCAGTGAGTTTAGGATTGATGATTGAACTGAAAAGAGCCAAACTTACCCCACTTTATACAAAGGACGATCCTGCCATTTTCAAACACAATAGACCGATCTCTGTTTTACCAATTATTTCAAAAGTTTTTGAACAACTAGTCCATAAGAGATTAATTAAATATCTTGATAAAATTAATATCTTATATCCATATCAGTACAGTTTTAGGAAAAAACATTATACCTACATGGCTCTTGTTCGGTTACTGAATGAAATATACAAAGCCANTTTAACTGAGAATATACACCTTTATGGGCTGCAAGGTGGCTCGGTGGTTAGCACCGTTGCCTCACAGCAAGAAGGTCACCGGTTGGCGTCCCAGTAAGGACACTCTGGATCTTTTTGTGTGGAGTTTACATGTCCTCTCTGTGCAGCGTGGGTTTTCTCCAGGTTCGCTGGCTTCATTCCATACAGTCCAAAAACATGTTGAGGTTAATTGGTGATTCTAAATTGTCCATAGGTGTGAATGTGAGTGTGCTTGTTGTCTGTCTCTGCGATAGACTGGTGACCTGTCCAGGGTGTCCCCTGCCTTCGCCCTGAGCCAGCTGGGATAGACTCCAGCCCCCCGTGACCCTAGTGAGGATTAAGCGGTGTATAGATAATGGATGGATGCATACCTTTAGGACAGCAGGCACTGCCTAGTTTTTGGTTCAATGCTCAGGAAGCTGGACTCTGTAGTGAGCAATGAAGCCCACCCATTTCATGTCACGGAGGTGTTCCGGCAGAGCACGTCTTATTTTTTATTTTATATTGTATAATTTGTTTTATATTTTATGTGTGCCATCAGCGTCGGGTGTCTTGTGGGGTTGTCTGTGTTTTAATGTAGCTGCTGTAACAAAGTAATTTCCATTACAAGGGTCAATAAAGTGACTATCCTATCTTTGTTTTGTTGCTATGGCGCCGTGAAAATGGCAGCCAGTTGCAGCGGCTCTACCTGCTTTCTGTGTTTTTGGCTGTTTACTTTAGTTTTATTGCGTCTTTTTGATTTTTTTGTTTCGCACAGCTGTACCACATTTGTGCGGGAACAGTGGAAATGCAGATGGTGGTTTTGTTGGTCTCTTCTTTGCTTTTTTGCGAGGTTTTGGGGTCTGCATCTGGCGAGCCGTTTGAGCCGTTGTGCCATGTCTCTATTGTTTTTACACTCATGAACAGCTGTTGGCACTGATATCCCCAATGAGGAAGAGGGGATGCAGGGCAGGAGTGAAGAGAAGAGGAGACGCTGCAAGC